CCCAGGCCTGGGACCATGGCTTATTTCAGGGCTGAGCAGCACGAGAGGCGCACTGCTGTGCTGCAGGCTCCTGCGTGTGCTCTCCCTGCGGTGGCTGAACACTGCCTGTAGGTCCGGCAGCATTGCCTCAGCGTGGTCCCCTTTGCTTCAAAACCTGAGCAGAAGTTAGTGAGCACAGAGCACAACAGTGGAGAAAAGCTAAAGCTCCAAAGGAACAAAAGGATATTCAGGCAGAAAGAGCCAGGACAAACACTGAAGCAGACAGCGCGAGGCACTCACCTGCTTGCACCAGAGCTGCTCCTCAGGTAGCCACTGCTCCAAGGAGAAGCAGGGCAGCTGCTGGGGGCTTGTGCCTTTTATACTGGGAGGAAATGGGCTTGAAGCAGTGCGGGGGAGCCAAGAGGGGGGCCAGGAGCACGTCAGCAGCACTGTCGAGCAGAGTCTGAGTTTACGGAAGGAGGGGTTGAGAACTGTGACAGGAACCCTCAGAAAGCCATTGATCAGGAGCTGAGGACAGCACCGGTGCATGGCAGGGTGGCTGAGGCCCCCCCCAGCACACCAGGAGGGGGGCAGAGGGGAGGAGACCACTGCCACATCCCTATGGATGTGGGGACATGGCAGACCAGAGCAGCACGGGCTGCTAGCTCCCTGCACAGCAGAGCCAAGTGCTCTGTGCTGCCCGGCTGGGATGCTCTGCATGAAGCACGTGTCTGTCGGGGGAAAACACTCATGGTGGGGATGAGGTGTGGGGAGGAGATGGACAGTGGGGAGCTCTCAGGGCCAGCAAGGCAGAGCAGTGAGTCCATGTGTCCTTTCCCAGCCCTTGCTCCTCTTACTGTTGTCCCACCACTGCATTTTGCTTGGGATCTTACCTGACGGCAGCTCTAAGCCCCCAGCCCATGACTGGGGACAACTTATCCACACATAAGTTTTAGGCCATACTGCAACACAGCACCCAAGTAGCTGATGAGATCAGTTGTGATTCAGTGCTTCAGCAGTGAATTCTGCAGCAGAGAAAATCTACCTGCGTGAGTCTCACATCTTGAGCAATTTTGTATTGCTACAGCGGCATCTCTTCGGCGCTGTCATTTTCACCTCTGTCTCTTAACTAATGTGTCGTTGCAGCCTCACTGCTACAGACCTCGCTGCTTAAATAGCTCAGCCTGTGCTTGCTGTGAGGTTTACAGAAGAGCACCATTCTGCAGAGGCTGAGATGGGCAGTGTTACCACAGGCGCTCTTGCTGACACCCTTGCAGATGCAGGGTTGTGCTCTGCTCCTGTGAGACTGATGACCAGGGGGATACTGGATAAGAAATGCTGCAACCCCCTTAGGATGAAGTGTAGGTTCAATAGCAAATCTGTTTTTCAGTGTTTCTGAGGACGCTTTCAGTCAGGGAACACCTCAAGGGACAAATGACACTATTTCACTGCAGCAATACTCTTCCGTTCTCTAATTTCCACCTAGTAACAGCTAAAAGAAGCGTCTTCCTCATCCAAGTTTTCAAGAGTTTACTCAAACTACTCAGGATTACAACTGCAAAATATGAAGAGCACTCCAAGTCTGTGCTAGCACAAAAGGTCTTTCTACAGCTAACACAATCGATAACGTATATGCATATTTTTTTCATCATCCTTTTAGCGTGTTCCCTTTGAACCTTGCAAATGCTTCCTGCCTAAAAATCAATCTGTATCCAAGAACCAGGCAGCAACTGTGCTTCTGCTGTGATAATTGGATGTGTATGCATGGAGAGGGTATCTTCTTAGTAAGTAAAACCCTTCATGATTTTGAATCACAGATCTCTTCCCTTACTGATCTTCACATGGATTTTGAGCAGAAAATATGGGTATCCTTCCCTGATCTCTAGTG